AAAATGTATCGTGTATTTATTACAGAACTATGCGGAAGCAATGGAAAGGGGGATAGCGAAAGTGATGGCAAAAATGGGGATCTCCACGTTGCAATCGTACAAGGGTGCTCAGATATTCGAGGCGGTCGGCTTGTCCGACGAAGTTATCGATAAATGTTTCAAGGTTTGCATTTACACGCGGGCGCGCATCTTCCAACGAGGATGCACAGGGGACGCAATGCGGTTGCGTTGCATGAATGATTAAAAACTGGATCCAATTAATGAGTCCGACTGTGATTCAACATGATTTCAATGACATGCATGCTCTGTATTGTGTTTCCGCGCGCCAACTAAATTTTATTTCATGTCAACGATGTGTATGTGTATGTCTATCTTTTTGACGTCGTCTCTCCTTCCGTGCAGGGCACGCACTCTCGCATTGGCGGCGTGACGTTTGACATTTTGGCGAGAGAAGCGTTCGAGAGACACCAGATTACTTATTGGAAGAAACCTATGGACATGCTGGTTATCCGCAATCCGGGCATGTATCATTGGCGATCCGGCGGAGAAAAACACATAAACGATCCTGACAGCATTGCCAACTTGCAGGTAAACGCTTGCTGCCGCGATACAAACAAACACTTTGACTGATCTGTACTAACTACGTACACTACGTATTTCTCACTCGTGAACGAATAAAAAAAAGACGATTGCTACTACCTTTTCTTTCTGCCCGTTCGTTCGTAGGATTACGTAAATTCAAAGAACTGGAACGCTTACGAAAAATATCGAAAAAGCACGATGGAAATGGTGAGGGCGTGTACTCTGCGCGGACAGTTGGAGCTGGTGCAAAGAGCAGAAAAGTCGATAGCCATAGAGGAGGTGGAACCGGCGTCTGAGATAGTGAAACGATTTGCAACCGGAGCTATGAGTTTTGGAAGTATTTCCATCGAAGCGCATACAACCTTGGCGATTGCAATGAATCGTATTAGCGGTAAATCGAACACCGGCGAAGGCGGTGAAAATGCTGACAGGTATTATTCGCGTTCGGACGAATAAACGTTCGTAGGTGTAGTATACGTACATACGTACACGCGGCAATATTATTTCCATTATTGTTGGGTGTTGCCTCTGTCGAGTCCGCGCTCGTTTTTCCGCTTGGGAAAGCGAGAAACGAGAAACAACAGGAATTACCGAATAACGGGAGGTAAACCTCTTGCCCTGTTTAGATATCTAAATCAGGAGCCGGAATTCAACAAACGATCGGCTATTAAACAAGTTGCCAGCGGCCGTTTCGGCGTGACATCGAGCTACTTGGCGAATGCCGATGATCTTCAAATCAAAATGTCGCAAGGAGCAAAGCCGGGGGAAGGAGGCGAGCTACCCGGTTACAAGGTGAAGAGCAGATTTCTCTTAGTTACACACACGCACACACACACGCGCATGTCGCGGCGCAACGATTGTACGATTGGTTTACAAATTGTGTGCGTAGGTTACCGCTGAAATCGCTGCAACCAGACACTCGGTGCCTGGGGTAGGTCTGATCTCGCCACCGCCGCATCACGACATTTACTCGATCGAAGACCTCGCGGAATTAATTTACGACTTGAAGTGTGCAAATCCGTTTGCTCGCATTTCCGTCAAGCTGGTGTCGGAGGTGGGAGTAGGCGTGGTCGCATCAGGCGTTGCAAAGGTAATCTCTCTCTCTCTCTCTCTC